ATGGTGATCGTGCAACGAGTACGCAAGCACCACGGTACATCCTTCAGGTAACCAATCAAGAAACGGATTTACCGACCAATCCTGTGATCTCAAATGGCACCAACCGGATTAGCTGAATGCAAGAAGGCAGCCAAATGAACCATAGTTTTGTCGATTGGACACTGAAGAATCGACCAATGATTTTTGGATGCTTGTGATATTTATTTGCACGATTTTCCGAACAGAATTAACTGTATCCATTGCCCGTTTAGGTTCTTCCTGTGAATTTTCGGTCTGAATCCCATATTACGCTACTCGAATCGGATTCCTATTCCGAATACTACAAGAGCCTATCGAGAGAAAACGATGATCACAGTCAGCAATTAACAATACCAGTTCAGGCGAATGCCCTTTGAAATATCAGGAGAATCATTTACATCCCTTCTCCTCATGCTAAAGTTAGTCGAGGGTGTCCCCAAAGTGGTGGGGTATGGTGATTGTTGTGGCCTGCGGTCGAGTGAAACGTTTACCGCGCATCACGTGTTTGACCGTTGCGGCCTCCCACCACACGCACGGACGCACGTCATGCGGACTTACCCTGTTACAGGGTCGATCCACCTCAGCGAATCAGAGGTCAGTATTGATCTCATTGATTGGTTCGTTGACTGCCCAGGGTGACGACACTCCTTTTGGTAAGACTTGCGCCAGTTCTGTGCCCGCCTGTCTGCGTGTTGACGCACTGCTTGCTCACCGGTTTACGGACCGACTACGTTTGCGTTTACATACTGTAAATATAATTACTACTTAATTCACTACTTGCGTACTTATTGACTCATACGGGATACAACAGTGATGATATTATTGTCTAGAGTCAAACAACAGCCGAAAACATGTTCCACTTGGAAAACGTTCTGGAAACAATCCAAGAATCTGGCCTTCGGATCAATCGGTCAAAGCCTCAAATTGGGAAACTGACGGTGACTTTACTTGACCATAAGGTAGGAAACGATGAAGTGGGGCTACTACCAGAGAAAATCCTCAATTTAAAGGAGTTTGCATACCAAAAGTCGAAACAAACAATAAGACGGTTCCTGGCCTGTGCTGCATACTATGGCCGGCTCGCTAAAAGTTTTATGACTATCGCTGAACCGTTATACGTGTTGCTCAAGAAAGAAAATCGCTTTCGATGGACACCAGAGCCCCACAAAACCTCCAATGAACTTCAAAGGCTCATGACCGAACAGCACCTGATGCTGAAGTGGACGGTGATTAGTGAACACTTCACAGTCGTGACGGATGCCAGTGAGATTGTAGTGGGAGAAAGTGGAGTGGCCGAATACGCAAGCAGGGTGCTTACTCCAACGGAATGGAAATATTCGAACACGGAAAAGAATGTCTTCCCATCATTTGGGCAGTGGATGAGCGGTGACGATATCTTCTTCTTCATATAGAAACAGATCACAATCCACTGGAGCGGATTCGAAACGCCAAGGATCCGAGAGAAAAACTAGCCCGGTGGGCGCTTCGGCTTCAGGAGTACGACTTCACAATCAATCATGCTGCAGGTACCGAAAACTGTATGGTGGACATTTTGTCTTGTCACGAAGAAACAGATTCCTTCAGTGTCGGTATGCTGACAGTGGGACAAGGCCCACACGAACTAGTGAAGGAACAGCGCAAGGAACAACAACTCTGCCAGCTGACTGAGGCATTCTCACAAGA